CCAAATGACCTAATGACCTGGTCATTATTTGATGACTCGAGGTCATTAGTCATTTGAGCAAATGACCTAGTCATTTACCATCACTGAAGATTATTGATATAATGTATTTTTTTTTTTTTTTTTTTTTTACAATTAATCTAACATAATTAGACATTGAAATCACCAAAATTTCCCTGTTCGATGCACTACTCATTAATGGGATATAAAATCTCATAAGAGATTAATAAGCAATTTTTACGATCACTATCAAATCATCAATTTTAATCTCTGTAATAACACTATATTCTATTGGTTTAGATTCTATTTAAACTCATCATTCCAATTTAAATATTGAAATCTTCCGCCCATATGATCAGAGTTTATCTACAAACTTGATAATTAATATATGGATCCGTACACGGCAAAACGAGGATTAGAGATGTTCTAATATAATTTAGATTTTATTATGGCGCTTTGCAATAAAGTGTGTCACTGTGATTTTTGTGATGACGGTAGTTGAAAACTTCTAAGATTTAGATTTCATATCAATTATACATTTCAATAAGCAATTGTATATTTTGTTTAAAATCTTTAAAATTGTCGGAGAATCAAAAATCTGCGTTACTTACGCAAATATTTAAACTTTATCTGTATTTACTAATTAAAATTTTAATAAATAAATTAATTAAGCTTATGTAAAAAAAAAAAAAAAAAAAAAAAAATACTAATTTTAAATAGTATAGGTATTTTCTAAAGATTATATAAAAAGATAATATACTAATTGAGAGTTCCAAAATTAGCGTTTTTCAAAAATAAGTAGTATTATAAAAATTGGATTTATATTTTAAAATTTTGCAATTAGAAAATGAAATATGTAAACTTTACTGGTGTAGTTAAAAAAATAACTGTCAAAGCGTCGTTAATAAATACTATATAATAATATAAATAAGTTTACACTAAATAAAGAATAGAATTAATAGATTGCTTATTTTTAAACAAATACTAAACTTGAAACAGATATCTGATTTTTAATTTTAACTCTCTAATATATTATTCTTTTTGTAATATCTAGTTTATGAATATACTGTAGTGATTCGTTATCACTTTATTTGCATTGATTTGGTTTGTAGGTGCAATGATTATTTATCAATAGAAATACTTAAGCAAATAAAATGGATGTTCTATAGAATAGGTGAGCAATAAGCTTCGCTAATGATTAGTAATCATTAATTTTTAATATATTCAGCAGAGTTTAGCGGGTTTGCCCACCTATTCTATAGAACATCCAATAAAATAATTTGAAGGGTATTAGATTTTATATTGATAAATATTTGTACAGTATTTATTCTTTGCTACTATCAATTTTAATAATTAATAAATCATCTTTATACTTACAAACTAAATTAAAACAAATAAAATAATTTAAAAACATAAAGAAATAAATATTGTGTCTATGATTTCTGAATTTAATTCCACCGATTAATAAATCATATTTATACTTACTACTATTAAATCCTCTAAAGAGTATTAAGTAAATTAGTATTTGTGTTCATGATTTTAAGTCTATAGATTAATAAATTAACTTTATCTCACCGATTAAATTAAAGTGAATAAAAATAATTTGAAGGGCATTAAGTAAATAAGTATTTGTGCTGATATTAATTTTCACAAATCTGTAAATTATCACAGACTAAATAAATAATTTGAAAATACGAGGTAAATAAGTACTTGTTTTAATATAATAGATCTCTAAATGTTTCTCTTAGAGATGCAGGCGAATTGTCCCAATGACGCCGTAACTTTGCCGTAACATGCCATAACTATATTAAACAATTATAAAAAGTTACGGCACATTTGCTGTAACTTCTTATAATTATTTAATATAGTTATGGCATGTTACGGCAAAGTTACGGCATCACTGGGACGATTCGCCTGCATCTCTAGTTTCTCTATTTGCGGTAAAAAAATTTTAATATGACTTAGTATATTATTATCTGTTAGAATGCTTTACGCAGTTAAATTATTTAATATTCTTTTTACCAATACAAAGCCAGTAATTAGTGGCGTGATCATCTAATTCAGGCCAGTCGGCCTGCATTAACACAATTTTAAGTAGCCTCAATAGATTTGCAAATAGTCATCAGCAAATTTAGTGATAACTTTGGAAACTATTCTATAATTAATGAGTTAGGGTTAGAGTTAGGATTAGATCATTAGAATTATGAGTACGAAAATTTATCCTTAGAAATGGTTCTATAAAAAGTTAAATTTATTAAAATTAGTTGAAATTTTGCGCCTTCCTAAGAATCAATCTAGTAATGTTTCGTATTAAAAGATTTTTTTTATAATAATCTTGAAGTTCTTTCACGATTAAATCTTTTTTTTTTTTTTGATATATTTTTAGCTGATTGGTCAGTGAATTTTTACTGGAAATTTAATGGATGCGAAAAATGTCCTATTTTGTGATGATTATGTGATGATAACTATGTAATTCAGTTAACAATTTCAAGATTCATAATGCTTTAATATATTTAACATTGCATTTATATAGAATTTAGTTTCCCTTTAAGTTGTAACAGTTGCTCTATTCTACTAAAAAATCGATAATAAAATATTTTCTACAAGCCGCAGTATAGCTTCTATATATTTAAATTCGGTCTTTAATTTAAGTTAGAGCATTCATTATAGGTTTTGGTTTTGCTTTATGTTATAGCATGAATTAACTTAATTTTCTACTAAAAAAAATCGATGTAGAAATATTTCCAGCAAAGCTACAGCTAAGGAATCGAATTCTAGCCTAAATTATGGCTAATGCAAGCCAGATGACCTTAATATTATGATAAGAAAATTACGCGCGTGCCCATCGTACAGTACGTTGTTACGGAAATTTTTGATGTTACAAAAATATAGTTTTAGTATTAGGGGCCACATCATGGTCTGAAACCCAAGATCAGTGTTCGAAACTCTTGAAAGTTAAATTTTATAAATACAAAATACAATGCTTAAACTAATAAAATATGAATCTTTCTTTCCGCTTGTTCATAATAAATCAAGTAAACTGCAAATTAAATAACACTCGTTTAACTTACCTAAATACAATTTTATGTTAACGACTCTGAACTAATTTGGAATCATGTCACCGATAGCTCTCCCATAACCGTAATAACGCTAGTAGCTAAAAAAAAAATTCAAAACCCAAGGAAATGTACATCACAAACTGTTCTTGAAACTACTCTTTATATAAAAATTATACTGTATAAGTTTACGTCAATCTTTCATGATTTAATATTTAATGCCGAACTTTATAGTTTAATTTGTTGTCAATATATAAAGAAAATATTTATACAATATTTATAAATGCGTAAAAATCTCAAGTGAAGTTGTCCACAGCCCTATGCTGGAAATATTGAAGATTACATTTAAAGCCTGGAAGTTGAATCTACAAATCTTTATCTAACGTAGTTAAAAAATTTTGAATTATTAAATTGCAGGCTTAGTTGGCTAAGTAGTATAACGATAAGCTAGCCATTTAATTGAAGCTGATAATAACAATTAATTAAATAATAGTCTAAGCCATGCTTAGCGAAATGACCAAATAGTATATATCGATAAAATTTAGAGAGAAATTTGGAGAAATTCATTTCAAAAATGAGTGAAGACGAAACCTCGCAAAAACCAAACAAAGATCAACGAATCGATATCAAAGCACACAATGGTAAAAAAGTAACAAAATTTCTGCTATCACCAAATAATAAATACGCAGCGACATGGAGCGAAGAAGATAAATCAATTTGTGGGTGGCGACTTGACAAATATCAACCTAATGTGGAGACAAATCAAGACCAATTCACTACTTCTCAACCACCAACTGCTCAACCATTCAAATTTGATTGCTCAATGGACTCAATAGATGTTAAAGAATTCAAAGAATTTCACGATACATCGACAGAATTAAGCGCAGTTTCGAATAATAAACTTGTCGCAATAAAGAATTTTTTATCGCCCAACTCTCTAGGTTAGTTATAGATATAATTATAATACAAAATTTCAATACTTGAAAGTAATTCTTATTAAACATTGATTCTTTTAAAAGCTGTCTTTAATCTTACCACCAAGAAGAGAATAAATATGAAAATACATCGGGAAAATATTATAAAGTATTATTTTATCGACTGTAAATTTTGTAATAATGGGAATTTTGTAACAAGTACAAAAATTGCAATAGGTCGCGATAAAATAACATTTAGACCATATTACTGGAATTATAAAATTATTAAATTTTTATTTAAAAATTTACATAATGAAAACTGGAGAACTGATTATTTGATTGACTGTGGAACATCCGAAGATATTCAAACGTGTCATATAACTGACAAAGAAAAGATTATACTCATTGATAACTGCAATTCGTTAACACAATTTAGCTTAAATACATTTTCATTCGAAAACCAATATCAATTAAGATGGGGTATCTGCGTGAAAAAGTACATTTTTAATAAAAACCTTACATTACTTGCGGTATATTCGGAAATGGCTCACTCAGAAATGGAAACATTAGTAATTATTTCCGTTTATTTAACAGAAAATGCGATGCTTTTATCAGAATGTAAGTTCTTTAATAAGTTTGAATTCGACAAAGGATATTTATAGTAATTAATTGTTATACAATCAAGATTAAACCACATCATGGGTTTAACTAGTAATGGGACCCAAATTTTTGAACGTCCCAAAACGTTTTGTCGCATCACTATTGTAACACTGTAGTTCTCAAAAAATTAGTCAAAAGTTGTTCAGTACCCGAAAAACCTTTCTTCAATCCTAATCTTAGAAGTATAACTAAATAAATAGATGTGTTGTTTAATACCAACCTTGTGATTTAGCATAATTCATAATATTTTAAACACGTAATTAACTGGTTAATCATTCAATTAATAGGCGAATGTAAAAAGGACAAAAATAAAAACAAAACCTTATTGGATTTAAAATTTATTTCTTTCGACGAAGGAGAACGATTGCTGTTATTTTTTGATGATGATTATCTTGAAATAAGAGACCCTTACAAACTCAAGTATGTTAAGAATGATAAAACCGTTTCAAGTCTATTTGAAGAACTTTCCAAATTAAATGAAACAACTCTAATAGAATTAAATATGAACAAAGCAGAATTTGAAACATTGATTGATGAAAAAATATATAGCATATTAAACGGGTGTCCATCAGTTCAAGAAATTACTAAACAACAATGGATCAAATATATACGAGAAAAATTAAGAGATGACAATAAAATATTTGCTCTACCTAGCAAATCCGAAATAGAAAACATTTTACAAGAAATTATAAACAAAAATAAAGATAAAAATGTCTTTGATCCTATCAGTAATATTAAAGAAGATAAATCATATGATGGAAAATTAGTAAAGTGGGAAATAAATAGCTGTGGAAAGGTCATAAGAGCTCTAAAATTCGATTTATCCATAAACGATTGGAAGTCTGTAGATAATGAATGGAACTTTGATTTGGTGAAAGTTTATAGTTGTAACTTAATGAATAATGAAGATTTGGCTATAATTACATCTATTGGCTTTTTAATTTTGTCAATTTGGCTAAAAGATCTAAAAGATGAAATAAGATTGCGATATTACAAGGAATTTTTATATCAAAATGAAATTGCTACACATAATGAAATTGCTACATTCACTAAATTACGGCGTGACGATAAAGGTTTTAAATTTAAATTTTTCAAGGAATTTCCTAATTCTGATGAAATTTCAAGTTTTACAAAATTACGCCACACTGAAGATTTTATTTCTAAAATGCAAATTTACGAGGATCAAAATGAAATCGAAAAATTCACAACATTAATCCATATTAAAAATTTATATCATATTATAAGAACACATAAAAGGAATTCATTGCCAGCACCGGATTTTGATTTGATTATTGCTGACCAAAACACTCTTATGAATAGAAGATACCCTTTTAAAGAATTGTTAGATGATTATAGCGAAGATGATATAACAATGGCATTATATGGACAGGAACTCTTAAAATGTTACTTAAAGGATAAAAATTATCTGATGGCAGAGAAATTATGTAATAAAATATTAAAGAAAACAGATGATGATGACTTTTTATCAAACATTAAGTTATTAAATATTATTACCTTTTCATTTATAGAATTAACACAATTTCCACAATTGTTAAAAAAATTTTTATCACATACTTCATTCATTCTATGTACTAATAAGGAAACTGCAATTGAAAAATTGCCTTTCAAATCACATCTTCAAAGTCATATAAAATATTCACGACCTTTTTTCATCAATAGTATTAAGCTTTTCATTAGTGATATTAAAAATTTTTTTATGACTTTTAATAATACATTTTCTAAAAAAACTGATATGGTTCAAACTGTTATTTTAATCTTTCCATTACCAGAATTTAATTCTTATCCTAGCAATTATAGTTTTTGGAAAGAATTAATATTTCCTTATCCAAGTCTTTTTGCAAAACACCAATTTCCTGAACTTTATAAGTATTGGCACGGTGAAGCACTTATTAATTTTAAATGGAACATTTATGGAAAATATTATTTTTGTGCTATTGTTATATTTTATTTTAGTTTTATGATCTGCTTTCTTATAGTTGCTACTATAGAAGAATTACCTAACTATACTCAGAATCAGCTATTAATTTCAACTATTATCCTTGGAATTCTACATCTCACTTTCGAAATTCGGCAATTTATTTATTCTCCTTTATCTTGGTTTGCTGATATTTGGAATTATTTTGGTATTTATTCATGTTTTAATTTTTAATTTATTATGAAAGTTTGCAAATACTTTGTGTCATGATTTTAATAACATATATAAATTATATTTTAAGATATAGGTGCAATGCTATTTCCTGTATTGACTTCTATTGATTGGTTACAATCCTCTACAACGCCTGTTTGGGCTGTTACAATTTCTACTTTATTACTTGAATTTAAATTTATAACATTCTTTCGTGCTATTGAATTTGGTGGTACTTATTGGGTAATGATTATTGGTGTCATAAAT